CCCCTCCTCCAGCAGAGCAACTGGTGGATTCAAACTGCGCACCTTTGGGATTGCAGTGCAGCTTCTTGCCACTAGGCCACCAGAGCTCAAGAAGACCTCTTTTACAACACCTCTTTTAATAAAGCCAAACACTTTCTTCAGGGTAAAAAGTGCTCCCTGACAGCAAGCTTGTTTCTTTTTCAACAGCTTAATACTATGCATACTTGCCCCCCCAGTATATTTATTGTTATCAGTCACAAAGTTTATCTCCAGTTTCCAGTTGAAAGTTCCCTTCAACGTCTACAAGGGTGTAAGTCTGATAAAGCACTTCTTGTCCATTCATTTGTTCTGCAGGGAGGATTTCTGCTTTTATCTTCTCTAGTTTTACAGTAACAGGTTCCCCCAGTCCACCAGTCAGATGATACTTCAAATTCGACATCATCTCCTACTTTTAAGTCCTGTAAGTCACCACCATACTGTGAACCATGGAAGAAGAGTCTAGCTTGACATTCTGAACACTGAATGAATCCGTAAGGGCTTAACAGTGTTTCTGTAGCTCCAGTCTGACACAGAGCTGCTGGAGCACCCTTGGGGTACTCGTTGTGTCCACTGTTGTGGAGAAGGTTTGGACCAAACTCATCTTGCAGCAATCATCATATATTGCGTTTTCAGTAGTATTTGATGATTCTTATTTTACAGCGCATGTTTCAAAGGACTAAAGTTGCTAATATTAAAAAAAGAGGGAGAAAAAAATGACCTATCAAGCTACTAAGGAATACAGCTGCTGCTGCTGCCCGGGGCAGTGTCTCAGCACAGCACTGAAGAAAACAGAGTGATGGCAAGTGCTCTTTCAAAGCTGCTGGTGGCCACAAACTTCTTGTTTCAGATCAAGTGTTGTGTCTTCGACCTAAGTACTCTTCTTTGGTCTTGTTTGTTGCTACAAGGCTTGCTCCTGGCCTGACTGGAACTTGAAGAAGCAGTTTATGGTGGTTAAGGTCTTTTCTGTTACACTTTGCACCCAACAGCTCTGCGGCCTCTCTCCAGTACTGCCATAAGCAGCATGGCCTGGGAAGTAGCAGGCTTTCGACTCCTACCTTCCTAAAATGGCAGCCCTCAACACTCTTGGGGACAGACAGAGGGGATGGTCACACACACAACACTGTTGGGGACAGACAGAGGGGATGGTCACACACACAACACTGTTGGGGACAGACAGGTGGGGTAGTCACACACACATACACACACACACCCTGAAACTTTTCATAATTAGTTACAGAACATGTTTTTCCGCCTTCTAAAAAGTTATGTGTCCCTATCATTGCAGGGGCCTCCCACAGCTCCCTGGGGTCACCTCAGAGGGCAGTGCCAGCCTCTATCCCACTCACCCAGCTGGCAGCCGGAGTTCCACATCTCCTGAGGGCTGTAGTTGGCTGAAGTCATCCGCAGTCCCAGCGGGTAGATGCGGGTCAGCTGACGAGCATTGTGCCTGACAAAACGGTTCCCTGGGAGAAAGGGGGCACTGTGACAACCCAAGGAGTATCCCAGGCCTTGTCACCCCCCTTCCTAGCTCTGACACCTGGCCTCTCTCTCTGTCCTGGGGAAGAGGCCTCAAGGAGAACCAGAGAGGACCATCTCAGGCTGCACAAGGAAGCACTGCATCCCTGCCCTGGGTCCCCCAGACACCCCCGTTCCTGATGCAGGCTTAGTCACCTGGCCCAAGGCTGCCTTTCCTGCCATCCAGCACGAATTTTCCCCACACCTGGCCATGCAGTAACTTCCCAGAACCAGACCTCCAGACAGCTTGTTCCTCCTTACTCCCTGCTGAAGCCCTGCCCCTTCTCCTTTTCCTAGCATCCTCCAGGGCAGGGTCCCTCCCAGTCCCTCCTGCCATAGAATCTGGCTATTTCTGGCCTCACCACGAGGCTGTGTGCCACGCAGCAGGCCTCTTCACCCTTCCTTCTTAACAGGGTGGGCATCAATCACTCTGAGCCCCTCTCGGGGGTCTGCCTGACTGCCCCCTACTAAGGCCTTCTCAAGCTCCTTTGCAGACCAGCTCAGCACACCCGCTCCCACCCACCGCCCAGGCTCCAGTGCCCAAGTGCCTCGCCAGCGCCTCCTACCGGCCTCTCGGATGAACTTCTTAGCCTTGCGCTCACTGAGGGAGCTGACCTGGCAGGGCTGGGCCTGCCCAGGGGTCGGGCGCAGGGTCCGCAGGCGGGTGGCACAGCAGTACACGGCCAGGGCCGACAGCTCCGGGGAGATCTGCTTGGCCTGTGAGAGCAGCCTCAGCCGGGGTTCCGGCCCCAGTCCCCAAGTCCTCCTCCCTCTCCTCCCCCACGTGCTCGTCCTTGTCACCCACAGTAAGGGTAGGGGGGCAGTCCGATGGGCACACACTAACCCTCCGCCTCTGCTCTGCAGCCTCTGTCTCCTCTTCTTCCTCTCCCTCATCCTCATCGTCATCCTCCCTGTCTGATAATACCCGGCTGTCCTCGCTCCGAGCAGCCGGCAGCTTCTTCCCCTTCACCAGGACTCGGCCCTTCAGTTGCTGTGAGGGTCAGGACGGGAAGAGAATCAGGGTCTGTACCCCGAGTGTGTCAGTCAGTCATCCACCCGACCCTGTGTGAGGAGCTGGCCATGGTGAAGCCGGGATGAGACACAAAAGTGAGGCTTGTTTCCAACAGGACAAAACAGGAAGTCTGCTGGCCAGCAAGGTCCAGTTCTTCCACACATCGGAGTGTCCGGCAGCCACTGAAAAGCCAGAGCACCTGCAAGGGCTGGTTTATATGGGACAAAGAGGGAAGTAAAGATGCACAAAAACAACCAGTCCAAAGGACTAATGGGCGACTCGAATCTCAATCTTTATAAACTTGAAATAGGACTGTGCCCAGCTACAACTACTGACCACTTCAAAATGGATAGAAGAAAGTTCTGGAGAGGGTGAGTGGAAAATGTGAAACAAAATTTAAAAAGCATGAAAGTGGCCAGGCTTACTGGTCCGACAAAAGAGTGAACTTGGCGAGACTATGGCCTTTCGTCACCCTTCGAGCCTGGAATAAAATTCACCTGTAGTACAATTTTCAGCCAGATGTGAGACTGGTTCATACAGTGAACAGGAATGCACGGGAGGTACTACCTCCTTAGAATGACCAGCCACACAATCAGAAAGCATCATTTGCGAATGGATAAAGTTTAGAAGGTAAAAAAGAGTAGGATAGAGGGACTAATGGAAAGGAGAATCACAGGAGGCACGTGGGAAGAAGGCAGTTACAATCTGGGCATTTTGACTGTTAAAAACAAAATCTGACACCTCCATGATACATCTTCAAGGATATGAACATGTATGGCTAAGCACAATTAATAACAGTGCATCTAAATTCCAAAATCAATCTCCATAATAGTCTATGTGTTTCCTACTGCCAAAGGGGCCCTTTAGAGTAGTGAGAGAAGACCTTCACCCTGAAACCCACAGCGTCCCTTTTCAGCAGGAAGTAGCTAAGAGAATACGCCATCCCCTTTTCCTTATGAATCAGGGTGAAGTCTCTCTCAGGGAGGAGTGATAGGGAATGGCAAAGGACACACTGACAAAGGAGATTAATCAGAACTGGCTTTGACAAGCACTGTGGCATTTGGACAATTAAAACAGACATTCGGGGGGGGCGGGGGAAGAAGAACAAACTGGGGAGGAGGGTAGAGAGAATGGTGCAGCAATGAAGGAATGAAAACCCAAAATCCCTGTATATATGAATCAGGGTGAAGTCTCTCTCAGGGAGGAGTGATAGGGAATGGCAAAGGACACACTGACAAAGGAGATTAATCAGAACTGGCTTTGACAAGCACTGTGGCATTTGGACAATTAAAACAGACATTCGGGGGGGGCGGGGGAAGAAGAACAAACTGGGGAGGAGGGTAGAGAGAATGGTGCAGCAATGAAGGAATGAAAACCCAAAATCTCTGTAAATGTTCATTAAAATAAAAAAAATTTAATAATAAAAAGATTTAAAAAATCTGTTTAATGGTTGAATGAAAAATCATTTTGCCTTATATATTTTCACTTAATTAAAAAAAAAAGATATAGGCAGCTCAGCATTAAAAGAGAAAGCACCCTTTTCAGACAATATTTTCCAATGAAAAAGCATATAGCATGTATGTATGTGATCTTTTTAGTGCAACATTTAAAGGAGAAGATGAACAAAGGTTTACAGGTGTGGGAAAATTCCATAAGGGCATAACAGAATTGCTGAAGAGTACATCTCTTTTTAAAATTTTTTTTTCCTTCCTTTTTTTTGTTGTGTACCATCAAGTTGGATCTGACGGTACAGGAGGAGATTGCCCCTCCTTCTCCAGCAGAGCATCTGGTGGATTCGAACCATGTTCCTTTAGGATTACAGCACAGCTTCTTGCCACCAGGCCACCAGAGCTCGCTGAAGATTACTTCTTATGCACAGTGAGTAGGGGAACATGAGTGGAGGAGAGTCCCTACTTTTTTTGGGGGAGAGTCCCTACTTTAAATACTATAATCTGTGTATAGCTTGAATTTTTGGGAGCCATACGTGAACTATGTTGCTGAACAGGTTTCAGCAACACTTCCAGACTAAGACAAACCAGGAAGAAGCCTTGGTGATCCACTTCCCAAAAGATCAGCCAATGAGCAATGTCCTGAGGACCACAAGGATCCAGCCCCCCTGCTCTTAATGTAGGGCTGACTCAGAGCAGCTAAAGACAACGTTATTTTCGTCCTTCTTATTGTTGTTATGTGCTGTCAGGTCACCTACCACTCATAGCAACCCTGTGTACAACAGCTCTGAAGCCTGCTGTGTGTACGATTATTTTAGTTCCTAGTATGAAAATATTATGGGCTTGTGGCCAGGAGGGACAAGTCCTTGGAGAAAGACATCATGCTTGGAAGGGTGGAGGGGCAATGCAGGAGGGGAAGACCCTGGATGAGATGGGGCGATGGGAGCAGGTGTGTCAGTCAGTGAGACTGGCTCAGAATAGGCAGAAGTCACTCAGCATTCCATGCATATTTGGGATTGAGAATAATCCCAGGGAGGAAGAACGTTTTCACATGAAGTCAGAAAAGGCTATGAGGGGACAGATAAAGTGACCTGGGCTTTTGAGAGAGAAGCAGGAAGGACCACCTCTGGCCAGACAACTGAGGGTGTTTATAAGACTCCAGAAGTGGTTTAAGGTGAGCTAGAAGCCCAAGCAGCTGGCATTTGCCAAGAGTAAGGCTGGGAAGAGGATTCCAGACAGAAGACATTGTCAACTAAGACCTTGAAGGAGGAAAAGGCTTGGCTTGCAGAGACTCTGTGGCTGGGGAACACAAGCAGGCAGAATGGGGCCAAGTCATGGGAGCGTCAAATGGCAAGTAAGAGAGTGAATGAATGGTTCAAGACCAAAGCTGGAGAGAGCGCAGGAGTGCCAGGGCCGTGGGGCAGCAGATGTCAGGGGAATGGAGGGGATGGGAAGAGGGCTAGAAACTTAGGGCAGAGACAAGCAGCAGGTCCTAAGCCAGGGAGGTGGCATGAGTGGGATTTGGGGAGATGGACCCTAGGTAGACCCTTCCCCAATCCAGACTGGGGTTTGGGAGTGTCACCTCTGGAGACGGCAGCGCCTCAGGGTTCTGGGAATCCAGCATCTGTGTCACCAGCATGTCCCCCAGGATGGAGCGAAGGTGGTGGGCCATGGCAGCCTGCTGCTCCAGGCCACAGTGATTCTCAATGGACAGGATAACAGGGTATGGGGACAGCTGTATGAGAGAGGGACAACAGTTCAGAGCTATTCATACATCCCTTACTCCCTTCCAGACAGATGAGCAAAGTCAGGGTTCTGGGATGTCCCATCCTGGGAGGATTGAGAATTAGAGGGACCTGGGATACACATTCAGAAAGGTCTGATCTGGGAATCCAGGGAAGGGATGGACATCTGGGTGGCTGAGGTGGCTTCAAGAATGGTTTCTTTTTTTTAATATTTTTTTTATTGGGAAAAGCATATTGGGGGTACAAGGAGGTGAGGGTTGGGGGCAGAAGGGTGAGGATGGGCCAGGATGCAGTTGCAGAGCTGCACAGTTTGGTCGGTGGGGGGAAGAATGGTTTCTTTATAAAGTTCTAGCTATATTGACATTGACCATGCAGATAATATTGTAAACATTTCCTCAGCCTATTATTTATCGACCTCCAGTGGCGCAATTGGTAGGGAGTTGTGCTGCTAAACCAAAGGTCTGTCTGGTGGTTCAAATCCACCAACATCTCTAAGGTAGAAATCTCCTCTCATGAGACTGACAGCTTTGGGAACCCTCTGGGGGTCAGCTGTAAGGGGGAGGGGCATGAGTCCGGACTGACTGTCCCTTAAGATTGATAGAGCTTGACAGAAGTTGCAATGTTTGTGGAGACACCATTGCTGAACTTCTTTGCAGTTTGTTCATTCCTGCCCCAAGGCTTCCTTCTGGGTGGACCCGGGAGCGCACGGCTGGCTATATTGCACTGCAGTGACCAACCGTCCCAGCAGCCCTTGGTGAGTGATGGAGCTTGGACGGAGCTTCCTTTGCAAGGACTGAGGGTCACTGGTATGTGGCTGGGGTGGTTCTCATGGGGACCGAGTGCACGCCCCGGGACTCACCGTGAAAGCATGGTCACGCACGGCTTGGATCACATCTCGGAAGAGGATCTTGGAGGTGAATGTGTGGCCGTGGTAGATGACAGGCTCGCCACCTGGGCCCTCCCAACAGTCCAGCTCCACACAGCGGCATCCCTGGGCAAAGGCCCTGGAGGTGGACAGGCACAATGGCATGTGGATGCCACAGGCAGAGCTGGCAGACCAAGCTGGGCAGGTCCCAGGGAGCCCATGATGGGAATCAAGCCTTGCGTTCCCCTCAGACTGGGATTCCCCCAGGTCCCAAATACCTAACGTAGGCCTCAGTGCTGCTGGGCCCCCCAATCTGAGAGTCGGTCAGGTAGGTGTTGTGGGAGGAGGAGATGAAGTAGTGGGCGAGAGGCTGGCCCATGTCCTGGAACACAGACACGTGGGCTGGGTCCAGGGCAGCCCCCTCAGGCGACAGCAGATACATCATGAAGCCATCCAGCGTCATCAGCTCATGCTGCTTGGCTACAGGGAGGGGCAGGAGAGAGCATCAAGCGGCATCCCCATGGGGGGCATATAATGTGTCACAATGTGCACCCATCAGCTACCAGGATTCTTTTTTTAATTATTAAATTTTATTAGTTTTAATGAACATTTACAGAGATTTTGGGTTTTCATTCATTCATTGTTGCACTGAGCTACCAGGATTCTGTGTAAGTTGTGCCAGTCTCTCCCCGCCCCCACCCGAAGCCTCTGGGGGAAGTACACTGTTATACCACTGTACAGATACTAAGAATGGCTGAGTATCTGAGCGGGGAAACAAGTGAGCTCCCCAAGATGGCCTGCTTAGCTGGGAAGCTGAGCTAGCAGAAGCCCAGCCTGCTTCTTAGACCCTCACCTGTCTCGTTGAGTTCATAGGTCTGGATGAGGTGCTGGGCATGGCTCAGCGTGGCCTGGGCCTCGCCCTGGTCCTCCAGGAACTCCAGCAGCTCAGGGGCGCTCAGCACGCGGTCCTCGCCCGAGTACCGATGGAAGATCTTCTCCAGCTCGGGGCGCTTCAGCAGCCGCCGCAGAAACTCCTCGATCTCAGCCCCCTCAAGCCGCTCGTTGTTGGAGTGGTCACACTCCTGGGGGGGGGGAACACAAGCGCAGGAAGTTCAAGGGAGGGGGACACCCTGACAAACGATGACACATTCATCGTCACCAACAGCTGGAGGGACAGGTGTCCCCATGCCACAGATGGAGAAACTGAGAGCTTGTTTCATGGACTGTTGAAGAACAAGTCTGTCTTGGAGAAAGTGCAACCAGGGTGTTCCTTAGAGGCAGGGATGGAGAAGTATCTCGTCTACCTTGGGTGTGTCGTCAGAAGGGCCCAGTCATCGAAAGAGATATCATGCTGGGAAAGGTAGGAGCTCAGAGAAAGGAAGACCTTCAACCACATGAATTGCCACAGTGACTGTGACAAAGACTCGAGCATATCAGAGATGGGGACGGCATTAGATAGTGCCAGGTTCCGATCTGCTGTTCATGGGGTCACCAGGATTCAAAGGCTTTTAACAACAGAGAGCCTCAGAGGCTCCTTCAAGCTTGCACAGCTGCAGACAGCAAACCTGTAAGGTTCAGTGCCTGCCCCTCTGCCGTACCATGACCCACCCCAAGAATCAAGATGCGGACGGGAAAACGGTGGCCCAAGGCCAGCTCAGTCCCTTGTGCCCCCTCCACTGCAGATACACCACTATCCTCACATGCTCACCTTCAGTCAGTGGGTGATGTGGAAGTGAGCATTCCTGGAGCAGCCCACACGGAGCTGTTGGCGCAAGTGTACAGGTAGCATGAGTGTCACAGCAGGCCCACATCCACCAGCACAGGTGCCTTCCCTGTGTCCCCTACTAGGCTATGTGAAGGGCCCATCCCCGTGTGTGCCCGTGCTCACATACATGCAAGACACAGGTGATCCTGCACGTGCAAGTGCCCACAGCCCACACCTATGTTTAGTGCTGCGTTGTTCACAACAGCAAAGAGATGGAAGCAACCCAAACGGATAGAAAAACTATGATACTTTCACACAATGGCTATTATGCAGCATTGAAAAACAATGTACTAGTAAAACATTACACAACATGGGTGAGCCTGGAGGACATTATGCTGTGTGGAATATCTCAGTCACAAAAGGCCAAATGCTAGGGGAGCTCTGGTGGCCTCGTGGCAAGAAGCTGCACTGCAATCTCAGAGGCGCACAGTTCAAATCCACCAGATGCTGTGCCGGGAAAGGAGGGACAATCTCCTCCTGTACCAGTCAGATCCGATTTGACGGTACACACACACACACACACACAAGAAATAATAAAATAAAATAAAATTTTAAAAAAAGGCCAAATGCTGCACAACACCACTGTTATAAAATAGGACTGACACGAGGAAGGTTGGGGGGAGAATAGGAAAAGAGTAGATAAATAATGAACACTGCATTGGAACAGATAAGGGGAAGGACTGTCTAGAAGGAATATATGATTAGGCATTATATGTATGACAATATGGAACAAGGGGTGCATTGCAAAGTGGACTGAGAGAGGGGGAAGGGAGGGAGAGGGAGGAAAATGTACAACAAGGATGATTTTTGTTTTTTTAAATGTCCACGGACAGAGAGCACAGCAGACATAGGCTGACTTTGGAGAGAGTGGGGAGGGACTGAGGTCTTCTCGCCCCTGAATTTGGCCTAGTTGGCACTCCCATACCGGTCCTGGCCCAGTGACCTCAAAGGAGAGCAAAACGGGAACTAGGTCTGGAAGTTGCCTTACTGCAGGGAGAGGCCATTCCCTCCACAGAAACTAAGGTAGGTGGTGGCACTGACGACGCTGGTGGCTGCGGGAGGGCAGAGGGTAGGGTGGTAATGGGTTGGGGGGCCAGGGATCAAGGCCAGCAGCCCACCTTGAAGAGACGATAGGCGTACATGTCATTCATGTCCACATTGACCATTCTGAGCAGGCTCTTGATCTCCTTGAAGCTCATCTTACTGTCCTGATTGGAGTCAGCCCGGTGCAGGTAGAAGTGGATCCAAGTGTAGAGGCTCAGGAAATGCACGCAACAGGATGGGTGGGCACTGTTCCTCAGCTGACGGGTCACCAGTGGGCAAGTCACTCCCTCAGCCTGAGGCCCCACTGGCTGTCCAGTTGAAGGCTGTATTTCTCCCTCAGTCTGTGACTGCCCTGAGGACGGCAGCAGTGTCTCCAATGGGATTGGGACGCCCAGAAGACAGGAGGCCTGGTCTCCACCTTCAGAGCCTCTGTACTCCTTGAAGAAGAGGCCGAGCCTCCAGCCTCAAGTCTGAGGGAGGACAAGGGCTGTGTCTCAGGCAGACTCCCTGAGCCTGGAGCTCATAACTGCTGAGCTGTGGGTCCTCTCTCCTAGGTTGTGGTCCGCACCCCTCTCTTAGACTGTCTGTGACCAAGACTTCCTCGACCCCAGCCTCTCTCTCCCTGTCCCCTCAGCCCCTAGCAGATGGGCAGGATATTGGTCGAGGCGCTCATGCTGGCTCATGGCATCGAGGCGCGCACGCAGTTTGGCCAGGCCACGCACCCAGCGCTGTGCCTCCTCGGCTGTGGGCGCAGCCAGGTCCAGGTTCTTGCGGCGGCCCTTGAAGGCGATGGTGAGGCAGTGAGAGGGCGCAAAGGCGCCACCGTAGCGCCGCAGGCCTTCGGACTGGTGGCCCTCACGGACAGCCTCGATGTGCTGCAGGAAGACTAGGGAGGAAGGGGAACACACAGGCTGATCAGGGTCTGGTGGGCACTGTCCTCACTCAGGCACTGTCCCTACCCGGTCCCACCTGGCCTACGACTCACAGATGTGCTTTGATGGAGCGTGCGGGATGCGTCTCTGGAACCACACGCTCAGCCCGTCCTCCTGCAGCCGGTACATCCGTTCCTTATGCCACGTCCGCGAGCGGATCTTGCGCAGCCTGGAGCCCTGCAGCATGGCACGTACATCCTCGTCCTCTGTCAGGCCTGCAGGTTTGAGGGTAGTGGATCCAGGCCTGCCCTCATGTCCCCAACCCGATCTGGAGGCGCCTTCCTCAGCTGAGAGCTGTGGTCTCTCCCCACTGCCCCTCCAAATCCACGCCTCAGCCCTTCAGGCATTGCCCTGCCCCTCACAGGCCTCTGCCTATTATACCGAGCTCCGAGTATGGTGTCTGGCCCTTATGCCCCTTCAGTGTGTCCCACCCACCCAGACTCCGTAACCAGGGGTGCCAGTAATGGGCCCTCCCTCCCTTCTGCCTAACAGCCACCTCTGGAGGTTCCTGGAGGAGAGCCTGCCACAGAACCTGGAACTCAACACCTAATAAAGGTGTGTTCCTCCATTCCAGACTCCAGCCTGCAAGTCTGCCACCAACAGGCTTCTCCCTTGATGTGAAACACTGGCGGTCAGGAAGGCCCTCTCATTATCTAACCTAAATCTCTCTTGCTGCAACCCAAGCTCTTCATGTCTCCTTTCCCAAAGGAAAAGGAGTTTAAGAGGTTGCTCTGGCTCCAAGGTCACAGATTAGGATCTCAAGGACCAGGCTCCTTTGACCAGTCAGCCTTTGGTGACCTAGGTGAAGCCCTGGATGGTCTCCTGTGACATCTGGTCTCTCTCCTTGCCCAGCCATTGTCACATTCACACCATGCCCCTAGCCCACAGGCATGATCCAGCCAGTGTCCCCTTTCCCTATAATAAGAGCAAATGCATGCAAAGCCACAGGTACCAGGTCCTTCTTATGTACTAACACACAGGGAAATTTGAGGCACAGAGAAGCTTAACTGACCAGAATCCCATGGCTAGGAAATAATGGGAAAAAACAAAAAAGCTCACTGCTGTCGAGATCATCCCAATTCCTCCAAGACTGTAAATCTTAACAAGAGAAAATTGTCCTATAGTTCTCTCCCAGGGCCGCTGGTAGATTTGAACTTCTGGCCTTTCAGTATAACCTAAATCTCTTACCTAATCCACTATGCCATCTGGCCGCCTATGGAAGTGGCGGATACAGGCTTTAGACCCTGGAGATCAGGCTCTTGCAGCTTTGCCCTCAACCACTAAACCAAACTGCTCTCCCCCTGGCCCTGTTTTCCTCCCTCCCTTCTCTCACCACTGCTGGACTGGAGGTCAGAAAAGAGCAAAACTGAAATGCAAACCTCAGCGAGTCAAGCCCAAATGTGTCACTGGCCAGTTGTGTGACCTTGGTGGACTAATAATCCATGAGAGCTTGAGGCCTCATGCTCTCTGGTGGTAAAATCGAGACCACAAAATCTGAAGCTGTCATGATTCAGAGGTTTCTGCTGTGTGACCCACACCTATCCTCCTCTTCCTCCATCCCCTCCAACATGCTTCCCAGCCCTGGCTGTACCACACCCTGTTCTAAATCCTCCCAGGGCTCAGGTTCCTGGTTCAGCAGAGGCTGGAATCGGGCAAACTGAAGCTTCCACACCCTTTGGAGGCAGCAGGCAATGTTTCCAGGCAACTGGAATCTGGATCTCTGTGTGAAATCCCCAAATTTTTGTGTTGGCCACAGTTCAGAATGGGGGAACCTCCCCCACACCACCAAGTGGGCCAACCGAAACCCCATAGTGGACCAGCTCCTCTGAGAGCTGCCGATTACCAAGCTTATGGACGCTGGCCTGGGGACTCAAGATCATGACCTTCTCCTGGCATGCTCTCTTCTGGCACCCCCTCCTTTCCTCATGCCCAGATCCAGCTTCAATACCACCGCCTCCATGAAGCCTTGTTTGATTTGTCCTTAAACAGAAACAAGTTCTCCTTTCCTGACCACCAAGAGCAGGTTTTAGAAAACACAAAATAAAGCAAACAAAAAATCAACCACTCAGATTGTCACGTCAAGGGACTTTAATAAACCTGCAGCTAGGCGTCCAGTAGATGTTTATTGCAGGGGGAGCTGGAGGGACAAACTTTCTCTCTCCTCCCAGCCTGCCCTCACCTGCCCTGGAGTTCAAGTCAGAGGCCTGGGCTCGCGGCCCCTGGGAGAAGCCGCAGACATCATGGCTGCACCCAGGAGAACCCCACCCAGCTGGCATTTTTAAGAATGTGCCCTGTGACTTGGAAGGCAACAGTAGTTGATAAACAGTCTCAGGACAAGAAGGACCTGTTATCTTTGGGAGACGACTCCCCTGGGCATGTCAGTGGTCCTATTGGTTCCAAGGGGTCTCTCGGGGTCTGGTCTGTGGAAGGTCAGTGCCCACTCAATGCTCTCTATCCAGGAAGGGGAGGTGGAGCCCACTTTTCTGGCCTGGGCACACTTAGGACAAGAGACTCAGCTGACACTCAGGCTCCACCCTCCCATGTGTGCAACAATGAATTCTCACACCCTGAGAAATAACGGGGTCTGCATAAGCAGACCGCCATACCCGGACCTGCCACTTCTCCACCTGCTCAGCCTGGGAAGGGAACCTCTTGTTGCCTTGACAACCGGCCTGAGTTCTGTAGCTGGGGCCATCTCCTCTGACCCAGTCAGCCCACGGGCCTCCGGTGCCAAGCTTCTGGTGGGGGTGGCGGTGGCGGAGAATGACTAAGGCCGGAAATGGAGGTGAATCACCAAGAGCCTGTTTTGTCCAGAGTCTTCCATAAACAGGCCCTCCAGGCAGGATGCCTGAGCTCTGATAGAGTCCCCCAGTACGGCAGGTTCCTACATGGCGGCCTCTGCTCCTGGCTGGCCCCACCCTGAAGTCCCCAGAGGCCTGTTTGGCACAGGGTGGCATTCCAGGCTGCCTGCCCAGCTAGCACTGACCCCTGGATCACACTCTGTCCCCACCCAAACCACACATCCCAAGAAGGAGCAAAAGTGGAAGCCTCTTCTAGACTCTGGGCGAGTGCAGAGACTGGGGTGTCAGACAGAAAGGGGAGAGCCACAGAGCTGAGCGGGGAGAGCAGTGATGCCTGACTCCTGCCAACCTCTCGTGAACATTTCTAGGTCCTGCCCATCCAAACCCACACATGCTCCCTGACCTCATTCCTCCCTGCTCTGAGCAGGTGCACATGCTGCTCGCATCCTCCAGCTTCATTTTGTTACTGTCAAGCACCTCGGCCTTGACCCTCGTCCTGGGCTGAGCCAGTGCCCATGGCCACCCTGGACTGGTTGAGGGGTTGGGGGTAAAAATGATAATGAGCACGGACAGAGCAGTGACAATCCTGAGTAGCCCCACCGCAGCCTGAGAGGGTGCTCTTATTGTCCCATTGGACAGATGAGAAGGAAGAGGCACAGGGCCTCCAACTGTCCACAGACACCTGGTAGGTAGGTGGTGGAGCGGGGATGCATCAGAATTAAGGGGTCTAACTCCAGAGGGTTGGTATGCAGCTGGAATGAGCTACATTCAATACACAGAGCTCTCAGCTTAGGACCTGGTACCCTACTGATGCTTGGTAAGTGATAATAATAAAGGAAACAGAAGCAGAGCTCTGGGGAAGTGCAGAAGACAAGAAAGACTAGTGTCCAGTCCATCTGTCCTCCTCAGTCTGTGCCCTCTGGCCTCGTCCCTCTCCAGGCCAGGACTGTGGCACCCCCTGCTTACCAGTGCTGTCAGTTAGGACTCAGACCCCTTTCCTGAGCGGCTGGCTTATCTCAGCCACCAGAAGGGTCCTCAGGTGGCGAGAGATGGGCAGGTCCCTAGATCCCCAACTGCCTGGGCCATGTGGGGGTTATAGTCTGGGACCAGAAAGTTCTGCCTGGGTGGTCTGGGTTAGAACAGCAACTTCCTCATGTTAGAGGTGGAGGGGTCTGGGGAAAGGTAATTCCAGTTCTAGGGCCCCTCTTCTCACCCTTTTACAAGTGTGGTCACTGAAGCTCAGTGAGGGCAAAGTGTGTAACAGGAGCTGGAACAGAAGCAGGGGCTGGGCAAGGGAGCTGTACACACCAAGGGGTAACGGGTAGGGGGCCAGGAGCGCGGGTTTGTGGAGGGTGTGTGTGTGTGTGTGTGTGTGTGTGTGTGTGTGTGTGTGAGCTTGGTGGGCCAGGCAGAAGGTGAGTCTGGAAAACGGGCAGCATATGTGTGAGTCAGGAAGGACACATGTGCTCCGGCAGGAATGTGAGACACGCAGTGAGCAGTGACAGCCTTGTGCCAACCCTGCGGGGGAAGGGAGAAAGACCGCAGGGCGCCTGTATGGGGGTCCCAGAGGCTAGGGAAAAGGACACTCCACCATGAGGGGCCCCAAACATCTTCCCACCCTGAACCTTCAGCCAGCTGGCAGCCTGGCACCTCAGCCACCAAGAAGTACCCCTCCCTGCTCTCACTGGCCACCTCAACAACCAGGACTGGAGCCCTGTGGGACTCAGTGCCAGAGTCCATAACATTCCTTAGAGATTCAACAAAGTCAGGAAAGGCAGGGAGTGCTTCCTCTGTGCCAGGACAGGAAACAGAGGTGAAAGTGGCAGCTGCCCCCATGCAGGGCCCTAACTGGCATACAGCCTGGCTGGAGGCAACAGTGGAGTGTCCCCAGAGCTGAAGGAGACTTGAGGGAGGGTACAGGCATGACAGAGCTAGCCCCAGCCCCCTTAGTTCTGTCCACCACGGTCTTACTTAACCAGGAGGGCCACCAAGTTCCTCAAAGGGTAGGTGCTGGCCCGAATCCCCTCCTTGCTAACAGCACCCACAGCAACCCCACTCACCCTGCAGGAGACGCCCTGGGCAGGCCATCAGGAGAGGCGTTTTGGCCAGTGGGACTTGGTGGTGTACCAGGCAGGAGACAGAAGAGAGCAGTATTCTGTCCTCCCAGTACTCTGCCCACAGTCGGATTAGGGGCAGGGGCGGAGCGCGGGGCCAGGCACTGACCAGGATTGGGGGAGTGAGGGCAGCCAGACAAAACAGCACGCCCGCACAATCTGAACTTCAGACAAACAATGGATAATGTGGAACACCTTATCCTAAAAAATGACTTTTTGTTTATCTCAAATTCAAATTTAACTAGTCACCCTGTATTTTAGCTGGTAGCTGAACAAGGGTATCCCTTGAGTCTGGCAAGG